AATAATACAAAATAACATATGAAGTACACTATGAGGGAGCCCTCCAGCTACCTATATGTTATATTTTATTTTAGGTATTCATTTAATAAACTGCATTTCGTTGTTTCACATGTATCGTATCATACCTACACACTTAAACAGTAGTACCTAACCAAAATATTTTTTATTATTTATAATTAATCATATTTTTCTGCAAAGGATAAATCCCTCTATTTTGAGTTTTGGTAAAAGAGGACATTCAACATGTTAATATTGGGTGAAAACAAATACTTCTCAATTTACTACATAGGTAAATATGTATACCTACCTGTAATATTGTATTGAGTGGAGTTTACGTTTGTCTGTTTAAATAAAATATTAATTACGAAAAAAAAATAAGGTATTATAAACATATTTAAAATAATAAAGACGACAATGCATACTATGCTATTGCTGGGTGATAAACTCATATTCTTTTAATAATTAACTTATTCAAATTCTGATTTTTGGGATTTTAAGTAGATTTTAGGACTATATTTTAAATTATGTACATTTTTAAAACATTTAGGGATATATTTTTTTTAATGATATTCAAAACGTATTTTGCTTTAAATTATAAAGCAGAATATTTTTTGAAAATGTTGACCTGACTAAATCTAAATTCAAATGAGTAGTTTCTGTCTTAGGAGAAGCACACTTAAAATTACAAAAAAACTGAATTCGATTAAACTCATAATAAAACAAAAAAAGTTGATGTTCAAATCCTATGCCCTCTGGATCATGGTATTCATATATCATATACCTATATACTCTTGTTCTGCATAAACTAACTACCGACTATGGTTTTTAATACTGAAAACAAAGTGTAACGTAGCTATAGAGAATCTACCTACTACACCTCAGTGACCGAAAACTATAAAATTGTATCACATAAACGAGATATTTTAAATTTGTGTTTTCGAGTAAGACATCGCGCGGGTAGGTAGTTTGCATAAATTATATTATTTTAAAACGGACATTTTTTCTTTGCCTTATTGAAAACGTTGGCGTTATAGTTCGCGGAACAAGAGCATGTACCTGTATTAGGTACCTGCAACGGAACGTTTCCTCCTAATCTATATAACAACAATCGGTTGCGAAAATATGACGGCAAGAACAATGGCGTCGGTGGTTTTTGTACAATGCGGATAATATTATTTTATTTTCCAGCGATCGAATTCTGCACAGTACACCATGTACCCATACACTCTCTGCGAATTTATACACTGGTCGTATACACGTGCGCAGGAAATGGATTTCTATCTGCCCCGTATAATCGTCGAGCGAACATCCCGCCGCCACCGTATACATATATATATGTGTGTGATCGTTGAAATATCTCATTATGTCCGCCGATTCGCTGAGCAACTAAAATAGTTTTGAATTTTTTTCCTTGGTTTTTTTTTTTTTACGTACCTGTAGTTTTACGCAGACGGTTATTGGGTTTTCGTCGTTTTCGACTTGCCTGCACTGCCTTCAAGACTTAATATACTGAATTCCGATGCCGGTCTACAACACTTCTATTGTTTTGCGGTCGTTGATTGATATTTTATCGTCCTACATTAGTATTTTAAATTTTGTTGACCTCCCCTACCACCTATTTATGAGAATTACGTCTTATACCTTTCAGTAACCGACTTACACTAGAATACAACTTGTACCTACGACTAACCTGACTTTCAAAAATCATATTTCGAGTACCTACAGTTATCACAGTTTGCCGCAAATTTAGTCATAGTAGATTGCTAAGTTGTTTCTTTAATATAGTGAACCTACCTTACGTGCGAGCTCATTAAAATATCATATTATAGATATACTCTACACCAAATTCTAGCAAGTATTGTAAATTAATGAGTGAAAAGCGTACCTACAAAATAAGTCGATGTATTTTGTGAGTTGTAAAATTGTTCGACCGAAAGGGTTAAAATGGGCGGTGCTCAGCAAAGGCCGGATCGGGTTATACGCGTTTATCGGGCATCGCAGCATTATTGTTTTTTTTTTCTCAATATCGGACACAGTCGTGCTGCTGTAGTGCAGTTGCTGTGTACCGGTAAATTCTACTGCCGACACGTCCCAGCTTTGGAATTCGTTTAACGTTGAAAAACGCAATAGTTGGTGGTGGAGGTGGGATGGGTGGAGCAGAGTCTGAAATGCCGTTTCAACGCGAACCGCTGCACAAAATCGTCATCGTTTATCCCGAGTAGATAAATTCTCGGTAACGGATGTTGCTGTGGCAGTTTATCCAGTTGGGCGTTATGGCTTGAGATTCGTTGAAAACGCAATTGATCAGCAAATTTTATTGCGCCACCGTTCGCAGAAATACGACGACAACAAATAATTATATAAATAAAAAATATGGCTTTTGATACGGTCTATACAGCCGTGGCAGGTATAATAATTAATAATAATTGTAACGTTGTGCTACGCACGAACTGATTTCAAAAGTCAGACCTTAATAAACATCTCACAATATGCCACAAGACGCTTGAACGTTAGCAGGACGTCTCGAAAAAATAAGAGACTGAAAAGTATTTGAAATGGAGTTCGTCAAGATTCTAAGCATATATAGCGCTGATGAATTTATTAGTTTTACAATTATGTGGTTTTTTTCGTGTCTGAAAGCACATTTTAAATCAGAATAATTCAATACCGTAGGTGACTTTTGCCAGGAAACTGGAAAGAATTAAATGGAAACTAAAAATAGATGACTCATTTTAAGCCATGTTTATTAGGTCAGTATTGACTTGTAAGTTATAATAATAATAATTATATATTATTAATAAATAGTAAAATATAAGTGATGTTGTTGAAGGTAGAACCAAATGTGTTGGTACTTGCCGTGTTTCTAATAGAAAAAAAAAATACTGTAAAAGTGCAGTATAAACAAATTATAACATATCGTTAGAAATACAGATAGTCTGCTATCGTTGTTCAGAATCGTTTTTCGTATGCGCAATGATAAACATTTAATTCAAATTCAACGAATCCATTTCAACGACCCACTCTTCAGTGACCGAGGTACACTCCTCGAAATCCAAACCATACAGCAGGTCTTTTTCCTCTTCCGACTTTCATTTAGGTTCGGTTCATCAAAAATCTGGAAATTTTATTCGGTCATCCGTCATATTTCGGCCTGAGTCGTCTATTGTATATTGAATATAATACGTGTTCATTCAACAATTAATGACTATGATATTTGAGGCTAAGTCGAATGCACTTAAACTACAAATAGGTTTATGTAGGACCTACCTAATGTGGTGTATTATTTTATCATTGAGCTCTAGTTTAATTCTCATTTCTACGCATTATACTATACGTGTTCAATACTGTACATTCTGGAAATACGTGTGTGTCCACGAGATATTGCAGCTTAATAAAATATACATCGAATATGATTGTGGTGCTCGCGTAAAATGTGCGCGTTTAATACGCAGGTATTATTGCTGTAGTACCGAGGTACCTATGTCTATATGTACATTTTATTTGCTCGATAAATTTAAATTATTTGAAAAACGACTTTGTATCAATGTTTAGGGAGGGGTTCGCGCACAACCAATCGTCCGCGAAAACGTTATATGAAACGGAATTGGTCTGGTCGATGTGCTGGTGGTATGTATCTCGAGGGATTAATTTTAAACCTAAGAAAGAAAACCACTGAGCGCTCGTGTATTTTTTATAGAGAATCCGAAATTGCATTATCATATAGAGCATTGGGAGATAAACACTGGAGGGCGCAATTGAAAATTCACTGAAATGTTTATCATTTAGATTATACCTACAAAACATGACTGTGTAAATTATTATATTTAAATAAAATATCGATATTAATTTGCATAACAAATACCCACCTATAGCGTTTCCCCCAGATCTATTGTCGCAATCCAAATAATAGACATATTATTATTCTACAAGAGTTTCGGAATAAATCGTGAAACCGGCCGTCTTGGTAGAAATCGCGGGACGTAATGTCAGAGGAAAACCTACGTCAGATTATTGTTTGATATATTATAACGATTGTTATTTTAATAAGAAAATAGGTAGGTACAGTGGCTATAAAACATATTATTGTATTCGTGCGTGCGGAATGCGATCGTTGTCTTCTTAAGTTTTTCTAGTGAAGTAATTATTTGTTCATCTGTTTATATCACAGTATGAGAAATCGCAGTTTATATACGTACGTTACACTCACACACAAACACAATCATGCTTGCTAGCTAATTCATTTTGTTACCTACGTTTTAATGAAAGTAGCTGCGCGTGCACCATATAATAATCCATTTTATAATAATGAATAATTATATGTAACCTTAAAATGGATAGTTCCATAATTATTATTCTTAACACTGTGAAAACCTATTGTAACTTCGTACGTTTTATTTACGTTAGGATATTTTTTACGTTTTTATTCGTATACTCATTACATAGAAATCTTTACGGTAGGTATGAAGAATTTACAACGCGAGAATTCCGAAAGAGATTAAATATGCCTATTATATCCATCCGAGACGTTTTATTTATTTATCCATCGTTATAACGACAATAGTATTAAATAACAATAATTCTACAGATGTTCCCTAACAACAGCTTTGGTATACGCATAGTTCTAGGAAATTACAAGACTCTAATAATTAAACGTGACCTAGTTATCAACAAATGAATGAAATTCCGATACATTAATACTAAATAACACTCTAACGATCAAAAAATTAAAAGTGAAATTAAACATAATTATGGTTATTGTTTTGGGAACAATATAATAATGATTTACATTATGTGCATCTTAATATCTTATAGTACACAAACTGTACTCACCAATAAAACTACCTTTTCGTTTTCAATAGAGTTAGTGATTTTTTTTCGTTAAAAAATATTTAAAATCCGTTTATAAAATGATATAAGTTTCTAATTTAAGTTGTATGAAGTATACTGTTGTGTATGGGAATAATCATAATTAATTATTTTATATTTTTTTTTTGTTTCAGATTGATGATGAAATAATCAGATTAAAAAATGAACTGTCTAGAACAAAAAATGCATTGACCAGTCAAATTCTCAAACGACATCAGCTAGTGGCCGAACTGTCACTGAAAGTTGACAAAAAAAACAATCAGCTAAAAGAAATTCAACGTTCAAATTTCAACGATCTAGGCAAAGTGTTGAGGTCACTGTACGTGTTCGAGTCGAGATTAAGAAAAGAACAACAGCAAATCAGACGACAGTTAGGGGAGAGAGATTCGGTGATAAGGCAACAACAAATAGAAATTGCAAAATTGAGACAGAATCTAGCGCATTATTGTCATAAAAATGAGCCGCGAGAAGATACGGAAATTTCAATTTCAAAGCCCGACTTGATCACATCTATCTCATCAGAATCACACTTAAACGAGCATATAAAAAATAACGACGGAGATTCTTCTTCCAATTCGGAAAAACTCGTAGTGCTACCGCCGAAATTGGAGGGACCGAGGAAAAATGTGTTACCGGTTGACACTCGTATCAAAAAAAATTCAAAAAACAATATAAATTTTAACAAGAACGTGTACAGTAAGACAGTTACGGACTTGTCTCTCAATGACATATCGTCGTTTCCAAACCCAACACCCAATAACAACTTATTTGTTGTGTCTAACTCTATTTTCTCGAAAAACGAGTTTACATACAATGAAGTCTCTAAAGAGGTAAACTTAATTTAAAATTACGTTGATATTGTTTTGGAACAACATTTTATTTTATTGATAATGGTAATATTTTTCAGTAAAGCATGTTTTGTTGGGGTCTATATTTATTTCTTATCAATAAAAATAGTTATTGAACTCCAAAGTATTGATTTCCGTCCATAACGTAGTTCAATAATACGAATATGTTACGATTATAATAATAAATGTTTTGTAGACACAAAATAATAATATGTTAAATTATTTTATAGGTATATATATATCAATTACCTTTTTGGACACATTTACATGACAAACAGTGAGTTATACATAGGTACACAATTATAGCACATTTCAAGAAGCCTTTTTTTTGGACTTGACCGTATTACAATACGTCGATCCATGTAATACAATAATGTGCAAATATATTATAATATTATCCAAACAAACAATATTACTAATATTCAGATATTTTGTCTAATTCCGTTCACTTTTAACTTGGTGCATATTATTATGACGTTAAATTTTGATATTTTGACATTTCTGAAATTGTATTTCTTTACAGCACTGTAAGTCTGTAACACTGACTGTTGAAACTATTTCTAACTGCTACTGCAATATGGTTACATTGCAATTAATCTTACAAGATTTTTTTTTTTTAGTCCATACATAGTCTCCACGTCTCGCAAATCTTATGGAACGCATTTCTATCGTTCCTTAGTTACCGATATTAATGTTTATATTTTGATTTGTGCCCGAGATATTATAGTGGGAGTCGGTACACCTATAACCGGGTATTATACGACCGTTAATTTTTACCCTACTCGGGATGCTACCTCCGGTGAAATTTTACATACCGGTAAAAGTACGAAAATTCACTTTGATCGATGTTTCTAAATAAAATGCGAGGTGAAATTCTACCAGTAAATCATCTTAAATTACACTAGAGAATAATATATTTTACCACCATTATAATTGAAAAAAAAAGATCGGCAATAACTGAAATAAACACTTAAATTTTTTTGAAAATATGTAGCAACGGTTTAAGCCTATCTATAATCATATTTAAACAACGGACATCAGTTTTTTATAATGACTTTAAAAGGACCAGCTAATCAGTCGTTAAACCCTATGGGCAGCGAGATGCATGTAGGTACTGAAAGTTACTAGTTTTGAAAACAAATAAAATTATATTTTGAAGACACAAATATTTATTTCGATCGGAATTGGAACGTTTTCTGAATATAAGATAATAATTAATAATAATGGTTGAAAAATAATGATCAATGTATAATTTCTGTACTTACGTACGACAGTAATGAGAAATTTATTCGTAAATGCTTTTCGTTTATTCATTTTAACGTTCATCAAATGACTAACTTAAACTCAAATAAAATTCGAAACAAAATATTATTAACTGTTGTAGTATGTTCATTGTTATTACATGCATTACAAAATTATACCTATCAGATTACTGATAAATAATAGACGTTAAACGCTATCACAAAACAAAAATAATTATATTATTGTCCATATGATATTGCAGTCGTTAAAGTGTATACTATAACATTAAAATAATGGGAAAAATTTGGAACTGACATATATTTTAGTGGTCTTATCAGTGAAACGCAATAGCAGTCGATGTCGTTATAAACGATTTCAACTGTAATTATATTAATCAATAATTAATATAAAAACATTTCATGAACATAATTTGCTTAAAATAATAAAATTGTAAAATTATAATAATTATTTATACTCAATATTCAATCATTTTATTGTTGATCAATTAACTTTGGTGATTAGGAAATAGATAGCATTAATAAAAAAAAAATAGCGAGTGACATTTTACCTCCAAAAAATGTATAGGTACCTAATAATATTATAATATATTATAACACGTGCCCATATAGGTACTTGAGTCGTGCCATTTTAACGTGTTGAATATTGGTTTGCAGGTGATAACTTCGGTGAAGCAAAACGGCAAGATAATCACATCCGCGCTTAAGAAGGCGGACAAGTACCCGTCACCGAAGACGGTGCACTTTGGCAAAACGACTCATATACCAGAGCCCGACGAAGACGGCCAGACGGACATCGTGAAGACGGTGGAGACGCTATTGCTGCAGCAGTGCGGTGACTCGACTGAATCGGAAAATGACACGTCGAGCACGGCGTCCACGGAAACGTCGCCCAGCGTGTCGCAGATGGTCAGGAAGTTTGAGAGCATATGCACTACGGCGGCCACGACTTCCGGTTCGGCGACGGTGTCGGAGTCGCACGGCGCCGACGGGAGGTCTTCGACTCCGGCGGATGACCGCGGTGGTGGCGGAAGTGACGGGAGCTACATCGCGGACGCCGACCTCAGGACGGCAGCTGAGCTGGACGTGAGGACCGACTCGGAGCCTGACGTGTGCGCCGGTGGCTGCGCGGCTGTGTCGCTGAGCGATCTGGACCCGCGGAACAACTTCGAGGAATTCCGGTTCGAAGACAGCGACCTGGACAAGGATTACGGTTGTGGCCGGCCTGAAGCGGACGGGCTCGAGTACCCGACTCGACACGGTTCGTCGTCTTCGTCGTCGTCCGTGGCCGCGGCCGTCTCGGCGGCCGCGGTAATTCTGCGGTCAACAGGGGACGACGGGGGCTGCTGCGCGGCCGGCCGGGTGAACTACGAGTCGTTCCTGGAAGTGACCGGGCTCAGCCAGAAGTCCATCATCACGGTGCAGTCGAACAGGAACGCGTACGGGTCGCACAGGAACGTGCAGAAGCCCAAGGACGTGAAGAGCAGGAACCGGGCCAAGTCGGCGTCGTTCGACTGCAAGTCCGCGTACCCGGCCGCCGTCAAGTACTGGACGGAACCCTATCTCTGAGAGACGGCCACCATACCTAGTTACCTATACCTATTTACTTTATTTACCTGTGCACATACCTATTTAGTATTATGTTATAATATTATATTATGTTTTATTTATTTTATTTTTTTGCGCTAAGAGAATATTTTTATAATATGCGTTGTTTATCTTTGATATTGGACTTTTATTTCACGATGGTCACGTGTTTGTTTCGCATAAATCCAGTGTGCGTGCATAGTGACCTAACAGGAATATTATATTATTATTATTATTATTATTATTATTATTTTAATTATTTTTATGTTTAAGTTTAACCAAGCACTGATAAAATACATTTGAGCCTGCGGTTAACGTCGAGTATAATCAAAACATTATTATATAGTATCGTCATAACCCGGGTTAACGTCATAAACTCGAGTTTTTGAATTAATAAATAAAAAAAAAAGTTTGTCCGCTCGCGAACGACGTGTGGAGTGTATTATTTTGTTTTTGTTTTCTGTTATGTCCATACAGCTGCAAACATTGAGCTGCCGTCGTCACACGAGTGGTTCGGATGAATCCGTCCAAAGTGGTCGGTGCGTGTCCACTTCATCTGACCAACAGCTGCAGCCCTCCACTGCAGAGTGACTGCAATCGACATTTTTGTAGTGATCAATATGACCTAATATATATTATGTGATAATATTATTTTTAAATCCTACCATGACGTCCAAGTCAAAATTTATATTTTTAAACGGTCGGACGATTGTCATTTTGAAAAAAAACTGAACAAATGATGTCAATTTACTCGTGGACAACGAATAATAATTATTACATGTAGGGACATAGGTGTTAAGACACACATAATTTGCCAAGACTTATTTATAGTGAAAACCAAATATGTTGTTATTATTTTAAGTATACAGGAAGAAGAATCTGTAAATTGTGCAAAGAATTACCAGAAATAGCCGATTTGTGAATGGAAAAATACTATAGTCAGAATGCGACCAATAATTATTGTAAAAATATTTTGAGGGTGTGAAAAATATTAAATTTTAACAGTTATATTGTCGTATTATTTAACTAATATTCTTTGTAAAATTAAAGCTTTTATATAGTAAATATAGGTACAAACTAGTGTCTAACTAAAGTTTTTTATTTGTTGAACTTAATAACACATAATCCATTCTTGTATCTTTTTTAAATTAATTTTAAACTATGTGGTAGGTAATATTATTATAATATTGTTATAGATTTTGAGAGTAAGAATAATTTTTACTGAACTTACAATAATGGCATGTTTTTTTTTTTTGATTTTTGGGGCTGATGAAATCTCAGATCTTCAACTGCAGGTAGGCAGGTAGGTATAGAATATTGGTTCTCTAAAGGGTCATACGTAATTTTACTGGAATTTAATGAAAAAGTTTAGCGTAATGCTATATATATTTTCGATGAGCGTTTGAAGTTCAAATTTTAGTGTCATTAAGAAAGGTATAATAACAATTTATAGTCAAACTACTTCCGTTGTTTTGTTAATATTCAAAATGTATTGTTCTTAAAAACTTAAAATATTCCTTTTATTGCTTTAACTTTCTTTTTCCATATACAATTGACTAGTAATGGCTTGTAATAAATAATATAAATAAAACTTACATCAATATTTATATGAACATATTACATAATATTTATCGAGCGTTTAAACTTGCACACCCCCATTTTTCATTTACTAATGTTTGTATTTGAATTCTAACTATTTGAATTTTCAAACGTACGTCATTTATTATTGATATGTTACAGTAAAAAAGTTGGTTCTCATATGAAAAAAACCCCTTAAATGGTACAACAAATATCAGCGTTTGCTGAATTTGAGAAATACTTTTTCTGCGTGATAGTTCTTGGCGGCCAATTATATACTTCATTGAAGAAAACATTTTTCGTCATTTTTCTTTTAATATATCAATATATATTTTTTCTATGCTCCCAAAAGCCCCTTACCTAGTTGCGAGTATGGTTTAATCTAAAGCATGATTAATTGAAAAAATAAATGACTAATAGTGATATAAGTTATAAAATATTATAAATATTATAAAATACGTACCATATCATTAGAAATAGAGGATGATACACCGTCTTTGCTCAGCATAATTTGTCACATGTGAAGATCATTATTGAATTAAAATTTAACACATCCATTACAGTAACCTACTCAGTACTCAGTGGTGAAGTACCTACACTTGAAATCTACTACGCAGCAGAGCGACTTCACTGGCTTTTTTCATTATATTATCCAGACATTTTTCCATAAGTAATATTTATGGAAAGTGAATTTCAAACACGGCTGTTTATTCCTACAATTCCAGTTTGGGATAAATAAATTTATGGATACCTAACTTGTAAAACCATAAATGATATAACTTTATAGTTAATACCTAATAAAATGTATTTCTAATTTATGTTCAATGTTGTCCTGTAATTATATTGTAGATGTGGTTGTCAGATTAGTACCTTTAGGTAGTTGACAATATTATACAATGATAGGTCCAACCATGTCACTCCTAATAGGGACTAACGCGTAATTATTAATATTACTACTTAGTAATTATCTAAACTTGTTATAGTAACTCATAAAATATAATCATCGATAGTCGTTCACCGACAACTACTATTCGTTTCAATTGAAGTCCATTAAAAATCACTACATTTACTTAGGCAAAGAATAATATCCATTTAATTTTTCATGTATCCACAGTAATTTATTGAACATATATTATAATGTTTCATCTACACAGTTCCATATTATAAACGAATAAAATACAACTATACAAGTCTTATTTTAATTTTGTAATAATGATAATAATATTATTTAGCAATGTTTTTAATAATCATTCTGACTTGATATCAAACGGGTATATTGCAGCTTTTTGTCCCAGTTAGTTATTATTACTTATTAGTTATTACATATGAAACTCTGTTAGATAACGTTTCCTGTATTCTAATTTTCTGAAGATTCACAGTATAGGAGGTAGTAAAATACTCAATAATTTTGTAGTGAGCAAACAGAACTTTATCTTGGTGAACACAAATTCAATAAAAAAACATTATTTGAACAATAAAGGTCGTATGTAAAATTCATAAAGTAAGCAAAAATTGTTTTCCCACTTGGACCACTGATTTATCAAATTTGTTCAAAACGTTAAACGCAATATTATAATCTTGGTTTCCTTTATTTTTTCATTGTTTAAAATACATATTTTTGGGTAAGTAATTATAAGATATTAATTATTGCACCTATTTCATTTTACCAATTTAAAAATAACGCTATGCATTTGACATACTAAATCATTTTTAATTTTGCTACGAAATAGATGTAATATTTAAATGGTTTATTTTTTTATAGAATAGCTTAAAAAACCATATTATACTGCACTGAGATTTAATTTTAATTTTTAAATATTGAAAAATTATACATCCAATAATGTACCTAGTCATATGTTTATCAACAGATAAGATTTTAGTATAATTCAGTGTTCAACCTTAAAATGTGTATTTTTGTTATTTTATTTTAAAAAACAAATACAAATATTTGTTGTTTATGGTGTCTAGTCGAAAAATATATGTAGGTAGGTACTTAATATATTATAATGTAGATATACATTTTTTAACATTGTTTTTGTTAATACTTAAACATATTTTTACAATATTCGTTGATTTTGTATGAATAAAAAAACAAACAGATACTCAATCATTTTGTTCCTTGATTCTTAAACATCTGCCTTAAAGATAAAGTCCTTATTAATAATTTTTAAAAAAACATAAGAATCAGGGTATATATATTTTTTACTATATTTAGCTCCAAATTTAGTTAATAGATGACTTGAACTAAAGTTATTGTACTTGCTTATAACATAGTTTGTCAAACTTTATTAAAATGCGAATTTTGAACTCCATAGTAAATAAATACAAATATCTTAAATTAATAACAAAAGTATCAAACATTTTTTAGACAACTTTTTTGAATAAGTACTCGAACGTTACAAATAATCTTTGTCTTTGGTTCATGTGTACAAAAGAAAGTTATGTTATGTATTAATAGGTAACCAAAAATAGAGCTCAAGTATCACACTGATTAAAGCATTAAGTATAGTATGATAATGTATACAAATATATAGTTTTTAGTATTTTTTAAGTATAAATATAAAATTATTTTTTAAACATTGTAAGCATCTTTGCAATAATAATGGTACTTATATTATTGTTTTGAACAATAGAACGATTGCACCTACATTGGACGGCTTTATGTCGTTACACAGGTATATTTGGAGTATACATAATTATTATATTGTTACTTATAATAGTATTAAGAATTAAAAAAAACAACAATGATTTTGGCTCGAATAAGAATAAGCTTATGCCTTACAATTATTGGACATTTGAATAATATTAATATTATCGAGTTATATTGTACCACTATCATTAAAACTTAATAATACCTATGATTAATTGGGTTCAATATTTTATATAAATACAAAAGTTCATAAATATTATACGATTTCATAATAATTAATAAAATATTTTGTGAACACAATCTAACGTGCTTAATTAATGTGTACGCAAACAACATTAAACGCAAAAATATACAACGCAAGTAATAATATACTTATATATTAGGTATATTATTTATATTCGTATAAATTATTTTAAAATATCGTTGTACACTTTATCGTTGAAAATTAAGTACAATATTATCAATTTAATTGTACACATACAATAGTACCTATGTTAATGTTATGTATAAGTAATAGTTAATTATATAAATGATAATCGTGTACGATTTCAACGATTTTAACAATAATAGTGGACATAATACAACAACAAAAATTATAATAATTATTATAATAAAATCACCCCCAGTACGACACACTGTCGTCGAGGAGCGATAGCGCGTTAGGAACTCCGAATCATCCAAAGCCGATAATATTATGCATATTTTTTATTATGAAAAGGCGTTTTAAAACATTAAGTCCAACGTTTCAAAGTTTCCAAACATATAAAGAACAAACCAAATGAATCGTCAAACAGACCAACTACTCGCAAAAAAAACTTTTAAACCATATGGGAAAACATAGTATCGACAAATTACAACTAAGTTGGTTCAATTATTTATGAGAGAAAATTATTGTTGTAATTTAATATGTAGATACTGCCTATACCTACTAGGTGTCTAAGTTATACAAAATCCTGCTCCAATTTTACATAGTAGGTGCCTAATAATAATTCATATATTTGTATGGATTGGTAAAAGTTTTTTTTTTAATGTCATAATATTATACCAAAACGTGTATGATGATAATTAGGATTTATGCTGTGATTTTGATGCAATTTTATTTTATTTTTTTGTATTTTAATATGTAGCTCCACAAGCGGAAAATGTGTTTTAGGTCTTACTGATTATACTAAATCAAGTAAACTTTATTATTTATATTATATTTTGTATACTCAAAGAAATCATTGTGCAACACGTTTCCATTATGTAACTTTATAAATGGTAAGGAATAAACTTTTGACCTAATTTTTAAAGGCATTTTTACATTTTTTTTGAGATATTTTTAGCGTTTCATAAAGCATTAATAAGTCTGAGCCGTAATGATAATACAATGTATTGTTTCAAGAGGGACGATACGAATTGTTTGGTAGTTTCGATCGTGTCATACGAGTAGTAGAGGCGTAGGTACGGCTACGGTAGCCGCTCAAAGTCACTCATCGTCGCGGGTCATCACCGAGGTCTTCCGGGCTGGCCGCAGTCTGTTCAGAAGGCCCGAGACGGCCGGCCACCTTGGTCACCCGTACGTGGGGTCGACGGTGAGCGACATGCGTTGGCCACGGTCTACCCAGTTCTTCAGCCGGCCACGGAGCTCTTCCAAGGACTTGGACTTGGCCTTGTTGATGCGCTTGTATTTGACGTCCTTTGGTTTGGTCACCGACCGGTGGTTGCTCATCACCCGGTTGTACGTGGTCGCGGTCTCGTTTTCGGCGCCTCGGCCGTCCGTCTCCCGTCCGTCCTCAGCTGGCAGGCGACTGTCTGCCGAGCCGTCCGAAGCTGAAGCAACCGACGCCCGTCGCCGGTCCGTCCGCGAATGCGGTGGCTGTTCGGACGCGTCCTCTTGGCTGTTACCCGACTCGTCCTCCTCCATGATCACTGCACTGTCACTGTCGTCCACGTTGCCGTCGTCGGACGTCGGACCTCCACCTCCACCGCCATCATCGCCTACACAGCATCCAGACACCGGCGCGGTCACGCCGAAGTCGGCAAGCCTAGAATGCAGGCACCTGATGGCGTGCTGTTGCCGCTCGATGACAGCCTCGCGCTGATCAAGCAGTTCGCCGATGGCCCGCTGTTTACGGCTCAGCCGAGACTCGAACAGTAGCAGATCTGATGTCAACGACTCCAGCCGCAACCCGTACTCCGAACTCATCTGCATCAGTCGTTCTTCCTGCGAAAAATGACGGAAATATTAAATTTTGAGAAAAAAGTAAATTATAAGTTATAAATGGTTAATTGTTTAGCTATAATTATAAATAAAAACTAATAAAAAACTAAAATAAAAACTTATAAGTGGAATAAGGAACCAGTATTTAATTTGTCATTAATTTGAAATCTAACTCTTACACTAATGGCTGGAATTTAAGTGAACCCATAGGTTACAACAGTGGTGGTCCCGTTTTAGTCCTCCGTCGTCTGTATTATTTCAATATTTATGATCTTATTATAACTATAAATTATCTGTGTTAGTGCAAGTTAAAAAAACCAGCCACATCCCTTCCTCCTTTACAAAATCTTTTGACTACCTCTGACCTATATCTTGAAGTTTTAGACTTGCTTATTGACATATTATATTTTTAAAATCGACCAAAAGTTATCATTATCTCATATTATGTTTTTTTTAATAATATATGAGTACTTATATGATTACAAATTGCATTAATTATGTATATTGAAACATATAATGAAGAATATTTAAATATTATATGACGTATAAAAATTGTAATTTTTCCGATTGATTTCTTTGAACTTGCACATTACTACACCTACGCGTGCGTGTGCGCGTGTGTGTGTCTGGTTGCTGTTTGTCTTAAAAATAATGTTCTATTAATCCGTGCCGAATCTGGGTTATAGTAATTTGGATTTTAGAAGTTGCCGGGAATCAAAATGAAATAATGCGTTAAACGATCTACCAGTTTCGAGGCGCCGTATCGTGATCGTTAAACACATAAGTACGAGTGAAAAGTAAATACCAAATATTATTACAACTCGAGTTTCTGCTGTGCCATTAAAACCATGTAATAATAATAATAATTGTACACACGTCTTGTAATGTGTTTTAATGAATATTATATGTATATTGTATATAATATTATTATATCGATCATCATCGAAACTCCTCTGAACACATATTATTAGTTTTACGACCACATATATCGAATTATTATAACTCTCCGATTGCGACGAAATAATCACTATTTTCCTATACGAAACCCGTAACGTTTGGTATTTATCAATCGTAATATTAATAATACCTAAGTCATTCCGCCGCGACTCTTACGTGACTCGTTCAAGAAGGTTGTTTAGGTGCAGCATCAAGGAAATCGTTATCATTACGCGGCTTGTATGTTTTATCTGTGTAAGAATACCGTTTGTCGTTTTGAGAGAATCTTCTTTTTATTCTATAATATTGTTATGTTAGTGCTGTACGATTCCGACTCGTCCGCTCGTTATGTAAGAACATATTATTATTTCGCAAAAAAAAAATAATGTTAATAATAATAAATAATACCTTATTGTTCAAGACATGTTAGAAAACAGGAAACCCACGGACGCATTTTAAAAGTAAATCAAGTCGATTTGTGATATATCCAAGTTAGGTAATGCGTGTAATAAACGGGATTAAAAACGACCGCATAAGGTTAGGATGAAATAGAAAAAAACTTAAATTAACGAAATAAGAGAAAACCAATGTGTAAGTCGTCACCGCACAATGATGACGAGTCGGGGGAAAGGGGAAAATAATCGAAGAAAACGCCATAAATTGAAATAATATATTATGAAAAAAAGGCAATAGAACATAGACGTATATACCAGCAGTCTCATCGACACGATAATTAGTATTATTATTATTATTATTATTAACAACAACTAAAGATTTCCCGTTATATTCCTCAACCAATTTTGAAGATTTTTTTTACAATCGACCCGGAAAAGCGGGTAACGAATCCGAATTACGTTTCGAACACAGTCTATTTTTTTTATTGTTTTCTTCTTCGTTTTCTTCAGTTACTCAGTAGGTGTGTGCGGGTTTTTAACGGGACATCGTCGTTGGCCGCCGTTTCGGTCCGCATAATACTTGGTGTTTACGACCTACACTTACTACTTAGGTACATAATATAATGTATATTATATATGTATATAGTTTTAGAATACAAAATAGTAATTCAAGTTTGACGGATTCGTATAATATAAAAACGTGAGCGGCGAGTAATTACGGCTAATAATAATAATATAATAAATAATGATAAAATAATATGCATAAAGACCGTTGCAAGTTAAACTGTTAAACGATTATGTAATTTTTCAATTCCGATTGTATGTATGAGTGATTTTTTTTCTTATTAAATCATAGTTAATTCTGATCATTACAACTCACTAGTTGTAATACCGTAGATAATAATAAATATTTTTACCGTTATGCGGCTATGATAATATAATTATAATTAATTACAATATTAAACGATGAATAAAAAATAAAATAAATACTTTTTTTAAAACAGTGTTTTTATTGAGCGCGAGAGCATTAATAAAAAAGCAGCAATAGACCTGCATAGTTAAGCTGCATTCGTTGCGGAACTGAAATAATATTATGCTAATCAATCGCTTACAACAATAACAACATATTATTATCAATCAATAGTATTCATATTGTTACTGCTGGTAATAGTGGTAATAATACCAGAGTATAGGTACTGTGTACCTGGTACACCTTTGCGCGGCGCTTATTTTCAGAATTATTAACATAATAGACGCCAACGATTTTCGCGACGACCTCGGAAGTGGGCACGATTTTTACACGACTTGAGAGTTGTTGGTATTATAATAATAATAATGTGGCGCCCGCCTTGAACTTGTCGCGGTGGAGGTTAAACGCTCGCGCCCGTCGCGGCGATGGCGCATTTCACTCGACGGACCTAACCTAACAGCTGCACAGTGGTCCGTAAAGTGATTGCTACGACTGCGGTGGGCTAAAAAAAAATCGGTAACATTTCCAGTCTTAAATAAACATAACATTGTGTTCAATAATAATAGTTAATAATGGAATAGGGTCGTGGAGAAACTCCGGAATACAGCGATGGATATTGCGATTGCAGGTCGAACGTGACGGCGGTGATTATATAGATTGTATCAAAATATTTTTTATTTTTATTGAATATGCAATATTCGATCCGAATCTAAATTAACTTCCAACTATTGAGTTGGAAATAATCGTAATAATAATTACAACAACGGGCTATTTATCTCAATATTTAATCAAATTAGTGCAGTGACGTAAAATCAAAGAATAATACTCAATGTATTAAAATGACAGTAAATCATTGCACATCATTTCATAAATAATTGTGTATTAACAATAATTGTTTTAATAACACAGAAAAATTAATATAGCCTATGAGCTTTATTTGGAAGTAAACCAAAAGGTAGAACGTCAGGTACAAATTTGCACAAAAGTATATGTTACAAAAAAATATTAAGACTAAGAATGGGTTAAAAGAGTTGATATATACCGATATATGAGTGAAATTAAACTCAGCGTAGATATTGGGGAAGAAGATGACGAATGCTTAAATAATAAAGAACTTATTGAGTGGCGATTGTACTTTATAATGTAAGATTAGTGTGGCTGTTTAATGAAGAAAGTTCCTATTGGAAAAGAAAAATGTATTTTTGATCCATGTTATAATATTAAATATACAAAAGTTAAAACTAAATAGAAATAAAAATAAGAAGAAATCTTTAATTTCCTGTTAAAATAATTTAATGAAATAAAATAATTAACAATGCATTTATGTCATACCTATGTATTTAGTAAATTAGGTATGTAAAACAGTTAATTTGTATAAATACCTATATATGATTGTTGGTAATCGGCGTAATATTATTTTTAAAATAAGCCTATTACATTGATACAAGAAATCTGGCTGGTAAAAAAATGTGCAAAAATACTTAACTTGAAAACGACGTATGGGGAGTGGGAACTATACAGCGTATTGTATATCATTATAAATACGTTATTTGCATTCGGAAATATTTTAGCACTTTTAGCAAGCATTCGGGTAAAATATTTTTACTTATATATCGATGTTCTCATGTAGTTATACTTTAGAGACCACTGTGCAGTGGTGGCGGTGTATATTGTGCGCGGGAGACGTGAGCATTTTTATCCGGTGACTGTTATTATAAACATTATACTTACGTTCGACGCGGTCGACCTTATACACAAAACGCCGCGAGATATTATGTCGAACGAGAAATCAACTCGCGAAGTAAAAACGATAATTTCTAATGTCCATAACCCGTGTTTTCGATTCGCCGTTCAAGTTGCACTCACCTGCACCTCACAAGTGACTGTGCAGGTGTCATAAAGTTGAACACAGCTGATGCCGTTTCGTTTTACAATCGAAAGTGTTGGTATGCTCAGTGTCAAGGGTGGAGTCATGGTGACGCTAAGCTCAAAGTTCCACACGAGGCACAATATCAATGATTATAAATGTTATAATTTCAAATTTAACCACACTGCAGCTGCATTAATTGTAATCGCGGAGAATGAATAAACTATAACATTATATTTTAGAGGGGTTTTTACTATGAGTTATTTCCTTGGTCCCTAGAACCTCAATCCTCTATGCTATAATATATTAGTCGTGGTATATAGATACGGAAAAACAGGAGTCGTAAAAGTTTACTTTTTCCGATCTCTAGATTTAACCGTATCGTCGCAAAGCTATTATTTAACCTACATTATTCAACCGGCCACAGGACACGTAACAACTTATGTGTATCGATTGTAACCAGTTTGTTGGATATTTGTATAGTAATTATTATATTAACATGTATAAATATTAAATATACCTAAACCTAGTGTTATTGAAATATTAAGTGTTATTTCTAATTTTTAGTGTTTAAAAAAAAAAACAATAAACATTGTAATCTCATATGTAAAACCTAATCGATAAGCCCAAGGGTAGATATCGAGTAGGTACGTGAAGACAAAACACGAAAACAAGAATCCAAAATATTATAATAAATGCTGTCGACTTCCACTATATGTGAGAAACAACTACCTGCAGCTGTTTCCTATAAAATATTATAGTGTCTGATCTTCATAAACTATGATATTGTACTCATCCGTACCTGCATTTTGGCTTTTTTCCTCCACAACAGCGTCTGATGCGTCTGGAACCGGCATCTGTCCCTCAGCTGTTTTATCACGGCCCGAGCCTGTTCGATGGTCAGCACGTCTTCGTCGTCATGGACGTCGTTGTTTACGCCTTCGCTCTGCTGCTTCTCCTGCTCCCGCCGCCGCCGCGGAGACCCGTCGTCAGGGACCGCGGGCGGCGGAAATTCTTCCAGTACCTCTGCGGCACCCATTCTGGAACGAAACCACAAAAAAATGATAAGACATAAACGTTTCAAGACCTGTACGGTCGATCGCGAGCACATCATAATATCAGTTGTAGTATTACTATAAACGGCTGTTCGAGCGTACGACAGTCGCCGCCGAGCTGTGCGCATGCCGTCATCGCACAATATACTCGTCTAGAAATGGCACGATATAGTGTACACATTATTATTATTATTATTATTATTATTATTATTATTATTATTACTATTACTATTATTATCACCGTATTGCGTTTAAGCGGACGACTCGGTTACAGCCGACAACACTCGCTAATCGATAAGCCGCAATGCAGTGTCGTACGACCTACGACCACGTTTCGTCGAATTAGCGCGCGCGCTCTCCGACAAACCTCTTTTTACGGTTTTCTCGTATGTAAGTGACGTAACGCGGTTAAACGAGTGCTCGCGTATCGTTATTACACTGTACAATTTTTACTTATTATTATTATTATAGCTACTATCATCGCACAGAACTGTATCGTAATAATATTATCAAAATATTTATTATGTTATACCATCGGGATATGCACGACTCCACGAATCGTCACACTCAAATTTTTGATCGATTTTGACATCTTTTTTAAGAAATATGTGTTATTCCTGTCCATGGTTCTTATACTAACTTATTTTTAAATATATTGTGGTCGCTTAAAATATGTGTACAATTTTTTACTTTTATATTTTTCTAGATATTCTATAAAGTCGATTTAATTTTCTAAATGATCGTATTACAGCACTATAATGAGATTAACTTTTGATTTTACGTGACCCTTAATTCACTAATAGACGGTAATGAGAAAAACATAGGGGCGACACTCCTCGGCAGTGGCAATGACCCTTTAAAACACCTCCCATACAGTAGGATTTGTGGTCTCAAACATAATAATATGTGTAATCTCGCGTATAGCCACAAGAATAATAGTTGTGTGCTTTGATTTTAAAACAACGGATCATAGGAAAATTAACATTTTATATAATTTTTGTTGCATACAGTCGTGTGATTATTAGAAAGATAAAATAATGAAAACTTCTGAATTTCATAGTGAACTTATCGTGAAAATTTATTTTGGGTGCGTAATTATTATTACTAGAAATATGTACATCACATAATTGACACAAATTCACGCATCCTATTTGCGTTAGTCTTCAGAGTTCAGACCCTCGAATATCAAAAACCATATACCTTAGTTCCATAGAAAATATAATTTTACGTCGCATTGTTCATTAAAAAAAAAGCATATTATCTAATAGAGTAAAATGTTATGGATACAAATTTGAAAAAAAAAATGGTTTTCTTAAACCTTATATTTTTCGTCTCAGAACCAAACAAATTTATTGATTATAATATTATATAAATGGCGGTTACCATAAACACTCGTATAAATAAGCAATTGTGAAATTTGAGTGGCATTTAATCTGTGGTTGTGGTGTGTACCTAATACATGTTGAGAACATTAGTTACGATATTACTAATACTGCAGTCACGCGTTCCCTGAAACTTAACGTTTGCTTGCCTTATCGAATAAATTGGGTAGCAATTGTTCCAGTTCTGAATTGAATTCCTCGACTAGGCCTTCAAAACGGCCGTTGGACAGTAAAATTTGGTTTTTGTGCATTTTATTTTTTCCGAGCGAGACCGTAATATTATTTTTATGGTACATTTTTTGTTCGCTTTCGACGTTTCTCCACAGTATGTTTTTTTTTTTTTACGTCGGTTTTGGATCTAAATAAAACGCCGACGATTATTATAATCGAATTCCATCGGTGGCGCGGCAATTCGTCGTAATAGTGCATTGCGCTTATTATTATTATTCTTTTTTTTCCACGGCATTGGAACTAACCGAAACAATCTATACTAATGGTGCGCACAAAACGAAAAGAAAAAACCATCCCGCCTTCATGGTATAATGTGTACAAAACAGGAATTCTTTTTCGACCGTCCAAATTACTGGGACTTTTTTTTTTATACATACACATGTACATAGTATTAATAGTATTATTTTTCGTATTGAACGAACGATCGTCTATATATATATATATATATATAT